TATTATGGAAGATGACGAGGATCATGAACCCAGATCGGTTGATGAATGTTGGCCAAGAAATGATTGGTCAAAATGGAAAGATGTGATCCAATCTGAATTAGATTCACTGGCTAAATGAAAAGTTTTTGGTTCTGTAGTCCAAACACCTGAAGGTGTAAAGCCAGTAGGATATAAATGGGTATTTGTGAGAAAAAGAAATGAGAAAAATAAAATTGTGAGATATAAAGCAAGACTTGTAGCCTAAGGATTTTCACAAAGACCGGGATTTGATTATGATGAGACATATTCTCCAGTAATGGATGGAATTACATTTAGATATCTTGTGAGTTTAGCAGTATATGAAAAACTTGATATGCGTCTGATGAACGTAGTCACTGCTTATTTATATGAAACATTAGATAATGATATCTATATGAAAATCCCTGAAGGATTTTTAGCATGCCTAAAGCATATAAATCAAATCCTAGAGTGTAGACGTCAAAAAATTGCCTATAGATCATCGTACGTAGCTCAAGATAGAGAGAAGACGATAAATGTTATCATCTAAGTTACAGAGGATCATCCAAAGCTATAGATCAACTAAAGAATGCACAAGAAGCACATCACACAAGTTTCAAGGCATAAAATGAGCTTATAGCTTTCGAGATAGTAACAACTGTCTCGAAAACTATGGAGAAGCCAACACGCTTCCGAGATAGTTACAACTATCTTAAAAACTATGAAGAAGCCAACACGCTTCCGAGGCACTTACAACTGTCTCAGAAGCATAAAGGAAGTCACCACTTCTGAGACACTCACAACTAACTCGGAAGCTAAGGGGAGAGAATGACAATTTTCTTAAGATTTGTGCGTACCACGTGGCTCCATAACTGCCAAAAATCGTGTTTGAACGTGGAGGAGTAGTTACAAGCGGGAATCACACCCGCAATCGCAAGAATCATGACATTAAAATGTGTTTAAAACAGTTACAAAATAGTTGAAATGAAGCATGCTTCCAAGAAAGTTGTAACTGTCTCGAAAATGGAAAGCCAACCATGCTTTCGAGACAGTTACAACTGTCTCGGAAATGAAACTTCTTCGACGTGATTTATTTTCGACTTCTGACTTCAGTTATTGTTCCTAAGAGCTATAAATACCCCTTTAGGATCATTACTGACGGGATCCAAGCAGAGAGAGCAGATTGAGTAGAGAACTTGAGCATTTTGGAGCGTTCATCTCAAGAGAGAGTCTTCATCAAATTCGAGTACAACCAGCAACTTTGGGATTCCTTAAGATCTAAGCTTCGACTTGATCTTGAGAAGAGTGTTCATATTACATCGATAAGATATTCACTTATCTTTTTCTTACTTCTAAACGAAGCAAGAATCTCAAATAGCCTTCACGGTTCAATCAAAATTTATGAATCGGTGGTCTACGGGCTAACGCACCCCCGACACAGGCAAAGATCCCGCGCAAGCAACGATCCAAACAACGATCCTGCGTGTATTTCTAAGAATCTTGTAATTTGATTTTTATTATAAAGAGTAGTTTTACAAAGCACTAAGCTCACTCTTTTGTATTCATTATAATCGATAAACAGTTATAATGAATTTTAAAACAGAACTTGTTCCTGACGCAAACATAAAGAAATGTACTCTATTAAGTTGTAAATATCTTTGTATGGACTCAAGCAATCCGGACAAATATGGTATAACCGTCTTAGTGAATGTTTAGTCAAAGAAGATTATACAAATGACCTTATATGTCCATGTGTTTTCATAAAGAGGAATGAGTCAAATTTTGTAATCATTGCTGTATATGTTGATGATCTTAATCTGATTGGAACTCCTAAAGAGCTCCAAAAGGTGATTGAATATTTGAAGAAAGAATTTGAGATCAAAGATTTTGGTAATAACTAAATTTTGCCTTGGTTTACAAATTGAGCATTTAGAAAATGGGATTTTTGTTCACCAAACTGTTTATACCCAGAAGGTATTAAAACAGTTCTATATGGATAAAGCACATCCATTAAGTACCCCAATGGTTGTCAGGTCACTTGATCCTGCTAAAGATCCTTTTCGACCAAAAGAAGGAGATGAAGAGATTTTTGATCCTGAAGTACCATATCTCAGTTCAATAGGTGCACTAATGTATCTTGTTAATTGTATAAGACCAGATATATCATTTTTTGTGAATTTATTAGTAAGATTTAGTTTATCTCCTACAAAACGACATTGGAACGGTATAAAGCATATTTTTCGCTATCTCCAAGGAATAATTGCTCTTGGCTTATTTTATTCTTATAACTCTCGACCTGAATTGCTTGGATATGTTGATGCTGGGTATTTATCTGACCTGCATAAAACAATGTCTCAAACTGGTTATTTATTTACATGTGGTGACACCGCTATTTCATGACGATCTATGAAACAATCAATTGCTGCCACTTTTTCGAATCATGCTGAAATAATTACAATTCATAAAGCCAGTCGAGAATGTATTTGGCTAAGATCAATGATCCACTATATCCGGAAGAATAGTGGATTGTTTCCTGAAAATAAAAATCCTCCGACTATTTTGTTTGAAGACAATGCAGCTTGTATAGCTCAATTAAAAGGAGGATATATTAAAGGAGATAGAACGAAACACATTTCACCAAAATTCTTCTTTACACATGATTTGCAAAAGAATTGTGAAATCGTTGTGCAACAAATTCAATCGAGTGATAATCTGACAGATTTATTCACCAAGGCATTGCCGACTGTAACTTTTGAGAAATTGGTAAAAAATATTAGAATGTGTCGGTTGAAAGATCTCATATGATATTTGAATCAGGGGGAGAAACTAATACACAAGAATAGTGTATTATTTTTTCTTCACTAGGATTTTTTTCCCACTGGGTTTTTCCTAGTAAGGTTTTAACAAGGCATATTCTTTGAGTAATGTTGAACATCCAAGGGGGAGTGTTATGAAATAATGTGGATGTCCATTTAGTTTTCTAAGAAATTGATATTCCCCTAGTACATTAATCTTTTTCCTAGAACAACACAATGCATGTTCTTGAATGACTAAGCTCATGAATGAGTAATTAATATGATTCATGTATCATCATCTTAGTTTGTATATAAATAGAGGTATTCCTACCTCACTTTGTAATAGCAATGAAGAACGAATAAAATAAAATTTCTCTCTACTTCTAGTATACCTTTTCTTCTCTACTTCATTAGTTTCACAATAGGATTATACCTATTCCCGGTTTGATTTGATGAGAAATGCAAAGCCGGCAAAAATGATAACGGGGTTGTAACTTAATTATTCAGCATGTTATCGCCAGAAACTTCATAATTCTACGAGTTATTAAATAAGCTGGTTAATCTTGGGCATTGCTTTCCATTTATTAAAAACGCATCAAACTTATAATTTATAAACCCTTGGCATTATAGGACTGTAATTGGTTGCGAAAAATAGCCTCAATTCTTAAAATATCACACCTCAAAGCATGATAACGTCATGCTAACCTTGCTTTATCTCCAAGGGGAAAAAGGACAATTCAATTGAAAAGCCATGAAGCATGTTATTTATTCATGGGCCAAAGTACAAACACCCTAAACCCTATCCTCGATTCCTCATGCAAAATTATGGGTTGAATGGGAACCAGTTATCTACAGTAGGTCATCTTTTATGTTAAACACCTAACTATTTGTCAGATTACTTGCTTTTCAGTGGCATGTGTCACTAAGGGGCTGTTTGGTTCGGGGACGCGCCCTAAATACTTGGAGCAGGAATCCCATCAGAACGTGCCTACATGGCTCCTATGTTATCGGTGCTCTGACAAGATTTCTACTCAACTGTTTGCTACGTCTGGAAAACAAAGGGATAGAGATCCTCGACGTTCTTGGTCATAGAGATATTGTACGACTCATCAGTAACACATCCCCACTCTGTAAATCCAATGAATGATGTTTTTTACATAAATTATCTAAAAAAACTTTTAATTGTGGGATCCAATTAATAAGCCAATATAATTGATCCACATAACCAATTATAGGCATTCTCGACAATAAAAATGTAGAGAATCTCCTATCTCAAATCAAAACTAGACCTTATCTACTTTTAGCTGTGTTTTTGTTGAGCTGAATTTGTTTTGAATGAAAGTGTGAAAGAACACAATACCCGAAGGCCGAAGATATGATATATGCTAAATTTAAAATGAATCACAACAAAACGTTAAAAAATTATGGCGTCTTTCACCAGTGTTTAGTAGTGGAGATATATATACTTCATTTCTTTATTTGTTTGCATGTGAAAATTTCTTTCCTTAACTAATTTTCCCACAAATTCCTCTTTATTTATTAATTAATTATTATATTTATGCTTTTCATCTGCTAAGGTTATTTATTGTTAAAAAACATTGTCTATCTTTTCGATTTAAGAGCCAAGGTTTATAACATTTTTTTTATTAATTTGGTATCAAACAACTTTGCTATTTAAGCTGTCGTTACTCTTTCTTGTCAAAGTCATTTCTTGTACAATAAATAGGTGGATCCTTGACTATGTGAACGCTGCCCTCTAATAAATGACACTCTTCTTTCGTTGTTTCTTTTTCTTAGTCTATAAAATGCAATAAACACATTGTCGTGTTTTTGCATATGTATTTGTGTTTCCAACGTAACGAAATAAAGCTTCTCTCGTATTAAAAAAAAAAAAAGAGTTACCTACCAAAATATTGTTTTATCAATTTAAAAAAAAAGGAAAATAAACCTATGTAAAATTTTTATACCTCTTAAGTCCTCATAGACAACCGAAAAACTCCCTCTCCTCAAAATAAATAAATGTAAAACACAAAAATGTAGGACCTTCGATATATCAATAAATATGTGAAGATGTTAACTATTCCCACAGATAAGGCAAAACACAGGGGTCCAGATGCAAAAAAGTCCCAACACTATAGCCCATTTTTCTATAAATACCCCTTCCTGCTCGGCCCTCGTTTTTTCTCTTTCCTTTCCGGGTTTTCTCAACCCCAACGAAAACAAAAGAAAAAGAGAGAAGAGAGAAACAGCAGCAACCCATCAATAACTGACCCTCCAAAATCTCAGAAAAAAAAAACAGCACTCAAAATTTCTAGAGAGAGAAACACAAGCACGAATCCTCTCTAGATTTTAGAGAGAGAGAGAGAATAGTAATAGTTTCTCACTACCCTCTCCTTGTAATCTCACTCGATCATCTCTTTGTTGTCCCTTTTCTCTCTCTCTCTCTCTCTCTCTACCCTCCCCTCCCTTTCTATTTGCGAAACAACTATTGAAAGCTTAGGATCCTCCGATCCCTTTAATTCCCCCTCATCCTTTCCCCTTTCCCGCCAATCTGCATCAAAGCTCCCTCCTTTAGGGTTTCAGATCCGGTTACAATTGGGATTTCTCGGTTTCTGCTGGAATTGGGAGGCCCCGGTGCTGATTCCGGCGGTTTGGGGATTTGGGTGTTGGTTAATTTGGGGAATGGAGAGGGATTGAGGCTGATAATGAGTGTGGATTTGACATGGTGCATGAAAACGAGATTGGGTTTTGGTTCTTTGGTGAACTGGAGCACTTGAGGTTGGAGTTAGGAGTAGGAGTTTGGGATTGGGGGTCGCTGTGCAATGTCTCGTTGCTTCCCTTTTCCTCCGCCGGGATATGAGAAGAAGCCGAGGAGCAGTGAACAAGGGGATATACTTGCAAAGGTTTAACCTTTTTCTTGATATGTTGTCATTGCTTCTTCATTTAGATGCAATCCTTCTCATGAATTGTGAGCGTGTGGCCCTCTGGAAACCGTGTGACATTGAAATGATTGGCATATTGGTCTTTAGGTGGATGACATTTTAATTTATAGAAGGGACTCGAGGATCTAATATAGGCTATTTACTAGTAATATTGTAACGATATTGCAGTATAAGTAGTTTTTGTGCTAACTGATAAGTGGTAGTTGTACTCTCCGTTCGTGCCTGATGACGATAAATTAGGGGTCAAGAGCATTATGTGACCTGCAATCAGCCGAATAATTGTATACTGAGCCGAATAATTGCATAAGTTAGGGTTGATTATCTTCACAATATAAGGTTAAAAAGGTCAACTTAGTTATTATAGGGGATTACCCTTCATATATGCCCTTTTCCTTTTAATTGTGTCAACCTTTTATCAGTTCTGGCACCAAATTATTTCTTTTGGTCTTTGGAGGCATTTACTTTTTTTTTGCTTAATTTCATTTAGTGGTTTAGATTAGTTTAACATCAATAGCTTCGGGTCAACCTATAAACTAAATGATAGTAGAGACCCGTAACCAACTAATCATAAGGATCTTATAAGCTGTATACTACCTCATTGTCATCAAACAAATCGTGATGATTTGCCTTGAAATATTTGCATATTCGTGCTCCCTAGAATGTCCTTTTCTGTGAACATGAAAGGGATACTCAAAGAATGCACTTATGGTGCACGCTCATTTCAGTCGAATTATCTCTTAACTGTTCGACCATATTTTAAGCCCCAGTCAGGTGATAAACTCCTTTATGAGCTTAGCTACCATGTCCCGTTATAGTTTTAGTGCTGTGAGATCGCATAATTCATTAAACGTGAGATTTAGTAAAAGGCAAACTTAGTAGTCTAGTATGCCTTTGGGCAATTGTGAACTTGCTCATTGATATCCTTTCAGACATGTAGTTTAGGATGAGCCTCACGATCTGATTAACTATTAATAGTAACAAAGGGTAATTGTTTAATAGCCTGCATTTGGATTGAGGATATCTCCAGAATTGGCTGATTATTATTATTATATATTTTACTTTCAAGTGTGCATGCAGAACTAAATCTGGCAACCAATATATATTATTATATATTATTATTATTATTATACATTTCCTTTGTTTTGTGAATTGTCTCCTTCCCCCTCAATTTCTTTTCAGAGGATTACCTAATTTATCTTCCCAACCCATCCCTTCTGGTTCTGCTCTCTATCTTTCATCTTCTTTTTTTATTTACTGAGGCTTCCCCTTCCAGAACCAAATTCTGAACCATTAGAATTTTCAGAGGGTGAGTTCTGTGGGTTAGGCTTTCATTGTGCTGTTTCGCTTACTTCAGTATAACGTAACATGTCCTTTTGAAGTCATCACTTTTATACAGAGATTGTTTGTTTTTAACATAAAAATTGAAATACTATATTGTCCCAATCTAGATCATGAAGAGGTTGTAAAAGTATGGGAGTCTGTAATTCCTCTTCGTATTGCTGTGTACCCTCTCCAAACTCTTGACTTTCACTGAAAGCTGCATCTGCTTTATCTACGGCCTCAGGCTTCATAGTATTTCTGGCCTGCTGAGGATTTACTTTTAAAAGCCCTATCCAGTCTCATCACCTATTCCTTGGCACAAAAAGGAAGGGGGGGGGGGGGGATTCGTTAAATGCTCAGCTGTCCTGTTGAACTGCGTAGCCCCCCAGAATTTGTTCCGCCTTCTTGTTTTCTGGTTGCCATCAAGGTTTGTTTTTATTTTTTTGATCTCTCTTTGTAGGTTATTTAGTTAAAATTGCTGACACCGTTTAGAAATTCAGATATAGGATTTCAAAAAATTTCAAGGGCTTTCTGTAATTACTTAAATAAAGAGATTTTGAAATCCCAAGTAGTATAATGTGAGTTTTGATAGACTACACTAATGCATAAAGTCCTATTCCTTTCCCCTTCTACTTGCTTCATCTTCATCATAATCATATGTACTTAGTATCTGGTACTCGTCCTTGACTCTTACTCAAGTTATGAACTATTTTCTAATGCCAGGTTAAGTTACTTCATAACATGTTATTATACTCGTAAGAATTCAGACAGGAAGTATACCTACTCTTTATCTTTGAATTTTAATGAACTTTTCAATAATATTTTGTCTCAATAGAGTTTTCTGGGGCATTCTAATTTGACGGCTTATAATTCGATGGTCTCCTATTTGCTATTAATTTGGTCATCTCACACCATATCCTCTCTTTTTGCTCAGCTTCTGGCTCTGACTGCTAGAATGTAATATGGATAAATAATAGCTTTTATTGAGCTGTACTCAGACTAGGCTCTTATTTTTCTGTACGGTTCTACTCTATTTTTCTTGACGCGTAGGAAGTTAAAAAGCATGATATGCTCTTATAAGTTCCAAATGTTGATGCTTAATCTTAAATAACATACTACTTTTTGATGGAAAGCATAGAAGATAGCCTGAATCATGGAAAAAGAATACCATTGAGTGTCATGGATGGGGACTCGGTGTTAAAATGCATATAAATCTGGAAATGTCAGATTTAAGCATTAGAAACAGTTGAGGAGATACATATATGTTATGGTGGCGGATCTAGAACTACATAGAAACTGATTCAGGTGCCAGATTTGATTTCTTTTCTGAAGCTGCAGTTAGATAAATAAAGTTGTTTTTTCTCCAAGGCAGAAAATAAATAGACTGAAAAACCTTTCCTAGGGGCTTAAGCAATCAAAACAGAGTCTAAAACTTAGAAGATGTTACTACAAATAATGAGGACCAATTACTTCTCTTTTTGAATTTTCTATGACTGAGATTTCTATTATCTAATATTAGAAGATATGTGTGACACCCCTTTTAGATACTTTTGATTCAGATGATGTACCCATATGTTAAGCAAAAACTGTCAAACCCTGTTTAGGTTCTCTTCCACTTCCTTTGCTAGCTGACACCTGAAACAGCCTTGATTGTGTTACCACTAATCTTAGTTTAACATAAAAACTACTTGGTGAAAATTTGTTCATTTTTAAATAACTAATCCATTCATCCTTTTCGAACTAAAACTGATATTTGCATACCAGTCTATTTAAAACTATTAGAAGAAACAACCTAATTAGCTGTTGAAATCTTCTAAACATCAAAATGGGAAAGGAAATGGAATCATGTTATAATACACGATTCTCTTGTTTAATTGCTTATGTTGCATGGAATGTAGGTCAAGCTTGATTGCTTTTCCCTCTTTCCAAGTACTAAATACATTTGTACTTACTTGGTGCCATCAATATGATCAAAATTTCTTATTTGCTCCTGCATTAACTTCTAGGCATTGCAGCTCTATAACGTTAATTGGTATCTTGACTTTAATTTCTGAAGAGCTAACCATTGTATAAAGTGGAGCTAGTTGTGTAGCAACATAGCGTAGTGGGCATTGTTTTAAAAAACATCTGCCTAGTTCGCTTAGGCGTACGTCTAGACCTAGGCGGTACCTAGGCCGCCTAACTAGCGCCTAACGCCTAGGCGGTATTTAGGCTACCCATCTAGATTTTACGAGCGTTTAGGGGAACATTGTCTGCTTACGTAGATTGCACCCTGTAGGCCTTGATTGTGATTTTATGTGACGTAGCCTACACGTCCTCCAAACTCCATTAACCTCCAAATATGAATATCTCCACTACCTCCTCCGACCTTCAGCAAAACCTCATCGATCACCACTTAAATGAAGAAAGAAAAAAAACGCCCAGAAACCGTTTAGGCGCCCGCCTAGGCGACTAAGCGCTGGGCGCCAAGTCCGACGCCTAGAAGCGCCCAGCGTTTAATGTAACATTGGTAGTGGATTGTTCTAGTGCCTCAAACTTATATATGAGTGATAGATGAAAAATTTTCTTGGATGATTCATTCCAAAAATTGATGTTAGATGGATATGTAACTTGCAATAACATAGTGTAGCTTCATGTATTTTCCTTGAGTAATGATTTACCTATTCATTTAAGATTAAGAATATACTTGTTTCTAAAGATAATGGTAAACCCATGGAACCCACACTGCAAAAATCTTGGTGGCATGTACCCATGTACAAGGGTCTGTGTGTTGACCATATCTTTGGTGATGAATACATTCTTGAACGAGTAGGTCAAAATATTTCATGTTTCTCAAGGTGTTTCTCGAAAGAGTGATGATAGTTATTTATGTAACAAGATATTAAGACACTGGAATCAGGGAATTGCTTTCTGTGGATATGCCTTAAGGGAGTGCTTAGCTAACTGAAAGTGTAAAAGTGATTTTTTTTTAATAAGTTTGTAAGTGCGCGTCTACATCAGCATGCAAGTGAAATACGATGTTTGTTTGCAAAAAAAAAAGGGAAATAATAATAATAATAAAGATTCTTGAAACGATGCAAGTAAAGATGATGTGGAAATATTATTTTTCTTTATTTAAATCATATTACATTTCCAACGATATGTTAATAGATAACTATCCTAGTTAAGAGTGGTCTGCAGTTTTACACTTCCAAGGTGACGTTGGCATTTTAGGGAAAGTCGTCTATGCTTTAAATCTGATGTCAATCTTTTTTTTCCTTTTTTTTTGTGCATTTCACTTTCAACTACACTTTCAATAAAAACATACACTGAAAGTGATGAAAGTGCGTCACTTTCACACTTCCATTTTCCACTTTCTGGTAATTTGTAATGTTCCTCTTCTGTTTGTATGCTACTATGCTAGGCCTACAAAATTTAACTTGCACAGTTTTTCCTTTTTTTTTTCTTTTTGTGTTTTTTCCCCTTATCAATCTCCAACATGAGGCTAGAGATTATATACAAATGTCTTCTTGTAGAGAGTCATGATATCATGTTAAGGAACCCAATGTGCCCAAGTACAGAAAATTTGACACGTCACTCTTCAGGCACTCTTTTCAGTTTTCAGGATTCAGTTGGTACATCTAGCACATCGTATTTCTTCGTTGGGATCACTCGCTCGTTGTGGTTGTCGGAATGATACTTCTGGATTCATGGAAGAGTATGAGCACTTACTTCGCTTCATTTTTTAACCGAGTTGGCAAACTTGGATCTATTAGATTCACTTATTTAACTATTATGGTCAAAGTTGTCAAATCGGGAGAAACTGTATAAATCTCTAAAACGCAACACCTTCGACGTGACGATATATAAATAGTTAGCAACATAAATCCATGTACAAGGACCAAAAGGCTATTAATAATGACACCATAACTTTGATACATAGTTTCTTCTGCCAGAGATTCATACCTATATTGGATGCATTTGTGATATACGCATGAGTACAAATGTGGTATACAATTTTAAATAGTGTATGTATGTAATGGCCGTTGCTAATTTCAGGTACAAAGACATAAAAAGTAAAACAAGTATCTTATGAGTTCATACACTTTAAAAGTGTGGTTATTCATATATTAATTTCAGCTGCTGTAATGGTCGTTATGTATATGAGTGTTGTAGCTTCATATATTTTCTTTGTAACTAATAAATGGTACGAGGTTTAGGACTATGTTTTATTATATTATTGATTTTGGGTTTCTGTTATAAAGTGAATTCTAAGACAAGTTTTGAGGCAATCTGCATACTGTTTGTACAACTTTCCGATAATGTAATGCAAAAGTTGGAATAGTCTAGTTTCCTTCTGGACCATGACAGTCCTACTGGATAATTGTTATGACATTTCTATTGTCAATTTAGTATTGTGATGTCTTTGTAACGTTTATGTTCTTTTAATAAATTCTGCAAGCTATAGTAAGCATATATTTATGTATTAGGGGAAGTGGCTATTAAATGTGATTCACACATACCGTTATAATCCTGTTGTTCCGATGGTAGAATTCCAGTAGTTTTTAGATGAAAAAGGCGATCATCACTTTTTCATGCTGTTCCATTATTGCTTTGTATAGAGGATTATGAAAAAAGCAGTCTTCTCCGAGGAAAATATTTTGTTTTCAATTCTTCTATCTAATATGTCGAGATAAAATTTATAACATCATAGTGGTCTTGCTTTCCTGATGTTAGGTCTTATTTTTGAGTTACCTTTCTTGTTGGTTCTTAATACGGGATCAATACTGGCAGTGAACATTCTACTTTTGGTTATTGTGTTGCTCATGCTGGTCTATTTTATCAATTGTCATTTCTTAGCAAAGCTTCATGCTTGAAGCACTGTTTACAGTCATCTCTCTGGTCATGTAACAATTAGTACTTATGCAAACTATGATATTTACAGGAGAAACACAGAGAAAAAAAGCATAAGAAGGAGAAGAAGGACAAAGAAAAAAGAGAAGGTAAAGAAAGGAAGGACAAAGACAGAAGCAGAGATAAACACAAGGAGAAAAGAGATAAAAAAGAAAAGCACAAAGACAAGAAAAAGGACAAAGACAAGAATAAAACATCAGAGGTTCGAAGAAAAACTGAGCATCTATCTGAGGCTCGCCATGAAGATATACTTGGATTTGACAAGCAGAAGGCTGAGGAAATTAATGATTCCAAATTTAAGGAGGAGTTTGGAAGAAGGATCAGAGATGATGAACAAGAGGCAGCAAATCTCATGGTCAAAGATTTATCCTCTACAACTCATAAAAGAGTCGAGAACATTAGCTGTTCAACTGGTACAGGGAAAGAAAATTCTACAGGCAATAAAGTGGTTGCAGATGTCACTGGTACAGTACAAAGAAGGAATGAAAAACTCACACCCCCTTTTAAGAAACAAACAGAGGGCTTTGGGATTGCAGTTAATTCACAGAAGCAAAAAGTTCCAAATAGCGAAAAGGCTCTGCAATTCAATTCTTCAGAGCAAGGAAGAAAGGAGATTCTCACCCCACAAATGCAGAAAAGAATTGAGAGTATGGGCACTGCAACTACTATGGAGAAGCAAAGAGCTGCAAGTAATGAGAAGATTGGAGCTTTTACTTCTGCAGAGCAAAAAAGAAACCATGCTACAGGTCACCCCATGGATAAAGTTCCCATTTCTGTACGAAGAACTGAGGGCATATTCTCTGTCAATTCAATGCGCAAAAGGAAAGAGTGGCCCGGTAATAAATATGGTATCAAACTCCATTAGATCAACAACAAAAAGAAATGATGGGATCGAACAATCAACAAGAAGTCTCACCTCTTCAGTTCCAAGAAAATTTGAGGACATGGGTGCTGCTCCTGCAACGGAGAAGGAGAGATCTTCATTCCCGAATATCACTAGAACTGAGCAAAGAACAGAGGGACTGCCAATGGGTAAGTCTACTGAGAAAAAGGCGGAAGGGATGGAGAAAACTAAAGAGAAGAAATCAGAGGATGAAAAGAAAGAGGGGCATAAGAAAAGAAAGGAGAAGGATAAAGACCGACACAAAGAGAAGAAAAAGGAGGAGAAGAAGAGGGAAAAAGAAGACAAACATAAAAAACATGATAAATTAAAAGAAAGTGAAATAAAAGATCAAATCGGCAGCCTAAACAATAAGACCTTAGGCCCTCGTGTAGAAACTATAAATACTATTACTGCTGATGGGATCAACAAGAAGAGGAAAGAGTTTGAAAGAAATGGTTTCTTGCATGGTGAGCCAACTTTTTTATGTTTGTAACTAGTTGTTTATTGTTGTCTATAAATCATTCAAAGTCACTGGGTCCGTCGATATTATTGCAGAGAGCTTATAGATTTATGTTACTATTGTTGCTCTCATTTATCATTTGATTACAGAACCTCAAATTGATGGGAGACCTAACAAGCTACAAAGAACAAGTGCATCCTCCAACTCTACAGTGGAGAATGGAAGGCCATTGGAGTTGATTCCCAATACAAAGCTTGAAGCCATCAATCATTTCAAGAATGAGAGAGGCCTGGATAACAATGGCAACCATCTTAATGGCAAGGTGAAAATTCAGCCATCAGATGTTTGCAGGCCTCCTATAGTTCCTCCTCCTATTACTGTGGATTCATCAAAGAAAGATCAAATACCATCAATAAAACCCCACCCAGATACTAAGTATCTCAGCACTATATATTCCGTTCCTAAAATGGTGGAATTGATGGAGTCTGACGAACAAGATTGGCTCTTTAGCAGTGAGAGCCCTCGTTCTAGTACAAAACTCAAGGCCGATGGAGCAACTCCTCAGGTGTGGGCTAAAGGACAACAGATTGAGGCGGCAGATATCTTTGCCCTGCCTTATGTCATTCCCTATTGACCTTTTGTTTGGCGATACCTGATTCTTGAATTACCTTTCTAAGGTATGCAGCAAGAGGATAAAACTGGTAATTTTTTCTCTTGTTGCGTTGGATTGTTACCAAAGTTTTTAAAATTCTTTCAGGTGCGATTGAAAATCTTTCACTGATATTTCGCTACGCATTGCGTGCTTGCTTCATGGAGAATGGGCATTTTATTTGTGAAAGTATTGAAATGACTGTTTGTTGTAGATCTTGAGTCATTTTTCTCGAGAGGGAGATGAATTTTTAGCACTCATCATTTTCATTCCTTGATCTTGATTCTTACCGGAAAGAATGCAATGCAAGAGTGGCTTTGCTGCTGTACTACACAATTTTGGTTTGTATTATGTAAAGCTTTCTATTACGAGAAATGTATAATAGAGATGATGAAGAAAAAAGGACAAAGAAGAAAGAAAAGGAGGAAAGAGACTTTTTTTTTTAATTTTGTTCGTTTGTCTTTATTTATGGCCAGAGTTGGCTAACTTGGCATTTTTTGGGAGATTGAATCATTTTGATTGACAGCTTTCTTAAACAGGTTTTTTGTAGATGCATAAATGCAATTTCCTTGATTACATGTTTCAATGATGCTGAAAGAGTGGCTCTAATCAATTTAGGGGAAGGATAAAAGAGTTATATACTTGAATTTTTGGTTCATTTTGGCCATTTAAGTGGCTTTTCCCTTTATTTTGTCAGTTCACTGTGAATTACTCACCAAAAAAAAGAAAAACCTGTTCAGACGTAGTTTGAAGCACTATTTACTTATCAAGTGACTACTTATCTTGGCCATTTGCATTTTGGTAGGCTTGTTTCTTGTTTCCTTAATCATTAGAGGTTCTTATCTACAGTAAGTTCACACGTATTGAGGATGTTGCTTCTCTTCGCCCTCTTCTTTTGTTCTCCAAAAGTCCATAAAAAGTTCAGACATGACATTCTCTGTACTTTTTTTTTAGTATTTGTACTCGCGAGTATTTATACTGACTTTCTACCAAGATATAATATTTGATACTGTCTGATATTTTTTCACAGGAATTCTTTTTATTTGGCCTGAAAAGTAAGTTTTATTCAATTCAATACAAAAGTGACATCTGAATCCTTAGAAAAGCTGGGTGTCTGCAAAGTTTGTTCCATCATTCTCTATTACTCAAAGTATCCACCATAGTTGTAACTTGTAACTTCGTTCAATTGAATTTTCACGGAAATTTTTATGGGGTACTAACTGTCAAATTCAACGAGGCTTGACTTCACATATTGATTTAAATCCAATTCAGTGAATTTATCCAAGTCTGCCTCAAAATTAAGAAAATTGGCCCAATAAAATGCCGCTTGCTCTGGCTATATATCAATATATTTTCCAAAATAATAAAACAAGTCATACAAGTAATGAATAACTAGAATAAATATTATTATTCAATTACAAAATACAAATCTTTAGACGTATCTTAGCAGATATACTAATATTTAGTGGTTAAAAGTTTAGTATTCTCCATGGCCAATAATATACTGCAGATCTACTAGAGCCTCTTTCGAACAATCAGTATTGAACTCGGACATATAGCCTGTAAACCTGTTCACAAAAGACCCGTTATGCTCAGAAACATAATTTCTTTTTCGAGTTATGTTCCTGTTGGATTTGGGTGTGGATCCTAACCTGTCAGGCAAGCTTGAGAAGATCGTCAGGCGAGCTTGAGGTCGAAGTTCAGGTGAGGTTGAGCTCCTTCAGGCGAGCTCAAGCGTTGTGCAAGCGAGCTCAAGATCAGGAGAGGTCGTTGGCGAGTTGCAGGCAAGCTCAAGGCTTGCGTCAGGTGAGCTTGAGGCGATGCAGCTCCGCAGGCGAGCTTGGGGCGATGCAGGCGAGCTCGACGAGGGTAAAGCAGGCAAGGTCGACGCAAAATCCAGGCGAGCTCGAGGTGGCTTGCTAAAAGCGAGGTCGAGTGCGCGCATGGCTGGCGACAGCCTGTCGCTAGGGTTTCCCTATAAAAGGGAAACCCCGAGCACGAGATTGTGCTGCTTCTCCTCCTTCTCGCGTTCTTTCAGTAGCAGCGGAGCTCCTTCTCTCTCCTCTTGTGATTCTCTTCTTTCTCTTTCAGCTCGCGAGATTTTGAGGGAAGAATTCAAAGAAGAGGGAATTTATTGAAAGGGGATTTAAAGAGAGAAGTTATTACTGTAGCTACAGTAGCAAACTTGTATTTATTGAGAGATATCAAGTTTGAGATCTGCTCTTGCATTGTAATTTCTTGTTAATTAATAAGAAATTAATTGTGTGGCTCCCGAGGACGTAGGCAAGTTTGCCAAACCTCGTAAATCTTGGTGTTCTTTTCTTTATATTGTGTTTTTGCTGTTTTAGAGGTTTAGCGTAGCCCCGGATATTCCCCAACAATGGGTATCAGAGCCTGAAACGATTTAGAGGAAGTCGGATTCAAGTGGGAGCGATAGCCGCAAATAAAGGAAATGTGAAATTAGAGAAGTTCGATAGAACAAATTTTGGATTCTGGAAAATACAGATAGATGATTATCTGTATCAAAAAAATTTGTACCAACCCCTTTCGGGGAAGAAGTTGGATTCTATGAAGAAAGATAAGTGGAACCTTCTAGACAGACAAGCCCTCGGAGTTATCAGATTGGCGTTAACTTGTAATGTTGCGTTCAATATTACGAAGGAGAAGACCACGGTGGGTCTTATGACAGCACTTTTAAATATGTATGAGAAGCCATCAGCCGCAAATAAAGTTCATTTGATGAAGCGGTTATTCAATCTGAGAATGGCAGAAGGCGCGTCAGTAGTACAACACCTCAATGAACTTAACACGGTCACAACCCAATTGAGTTCAGTTAAAATTGAGTTTGATGAGGAAATTCGAGTGTTGATACTTTTGTCTTCCCTTCCAGAAAGCTGGAACGCTACAGTCGCGGCTGTGAGTAGCTCATCGGGAAGCAACAAGTTAAAGTTCGATGACGTTCGTGATCTGGTTCTCAGTGAGGAGATCCAACGGAGAGAGTCAGGTGAAGCTACAACCTCTTCAGTATTACATATAGAGTCAAGAGGTAGAAATTCAACCAGAGGAAACGGACGAGGCAAATCAATCTTCAGAGGTAGATCAAAGGACATGATGTCCAAATCCAGGAATCCAAGCAACAGCTTGAAGGCTATCAAGTGTTGGAATTGTGGGAAAACAGGGCACTATAAGAATCAGTGCAAGAGTGTATAGAAGGAGAAGGAGGCGAAGGCAGAGGTGAATGTCACTTCCACCTCAGGAGGAGACGACGCATTGCTATGCTCTTTGGAGAGCAAGGAAGAGTCTTGGGTGTTAGACTCTGGAGCGTTGTTCTATGCTACTTCTCAGAAAGAATTCTTCGAGAAGCATGTTCCCGTAAATCTTAGATATGTATACATTAGTAATGATCAACTGTGTGCTATTATGGGCAAATGTGTAGTGAAAATTAAGTTGAACGGGTCAGTATGGGAGCTGAAGGATGTCAGGCATATTTCCGACCTGAGAAAGAACTTAATATCCGGAAGCCAGTTGGTTGGCGAATGATACACTACGACCTTCCATGGAGATGATTGGAAAATCTCAAAGGGCGCAATGACGATTGCCCGAGACAAGAAGGCTGATACCCTATATATGACAGCACGTACACGTTGTTTAATCTCAGTTACAGCTGGCAATGAGACTTTAAAGTTTTGGCACTAGAGACTCGGTCATATGAATGAGAAGAGGATAAAAATCATGCACACAAAGGGAAAACTCCCAGGAGTATAGTGAGTGGAGATGGACATGTGTGAAGAATGCATACTTAGAAAACAGAAGAGAGTCAGCTTTCAGACAAGTGGCAGAACCCCTAGGAAAGAGAAGCTAGATCTCGTTCACTCAGATGTTTGGAGACCAACCACCACCGCGTCCATTAGTGGGAAATACTACTTCGTGACTTTTATCGATGATCACTCTCGAAAAGTGTGGGTCTACTTTCTGAAGCATAAGTCAGAAGTATTTGAGGCTTTCAGGAGATGAAAAGCCATGGCCGAGAATGAGATCGGTTTGAGAATAAAGAAGCTCAAGACCGACAATGACGGTGAGTATGAAGACACCGGATTTAAGAAGTTATGTTATGAGCACGGGATCAAAATGGAGAGAATCGTGTCTGGCACGCCTCAGCACAATGGTGTAGCTGAGCGGATGAGCAGAATGTTGACAGAGAGAGCCAGAAACATTTGTATACAGTCAGGCATACCAAAGCAGTTCTGGGCAGAAGCAGTCAACGCAACAACTTACTTGATCAACAGAGGTCCATCTGTTCTATTGGAGCACAGAATACCAGAGGAGGTATGATACAGAAAGGAGGTAAAACTCTCGCATCTCAAAGTTTTCGGTTGTGTAGCTTATGTGTATATTAGTGATCAAGACAGGAATAAGCTTGATCCCAAGTCCAAGAAATACACTTTCATTGGCTACGATGAAGATGAGTTCGGCTACCGTATTTGGGACAACAAAAATAAGAAGGTAATTAGGAGCAGAGATGTGATATTCAATGAGAAAGTGATGTACAATGACATGCACAAGACAAATGACTCAGAGAACGAGTCAACATTTGTAGATGCAGATGATGTCCCGAGTAACCTCTCAGAAGAATCTAATGCAGAAGGTCCTTAGCCAGATGAGCATGTTGGACAGAACGGTGCACAGGAGCCCGACGCACAAGCCTCGGTATTGAGAAGATCTTCTTGTCCTTCTATACCCAACAAGAGATATATGAACTATCTGTTACTGACAGATGGAGGGGAGCCTAAAAGCAATAATGAAGCTTGTCAGAGTGGAGATGCGAGCAAGTGAGAGTTTATCATGAAAGATGAGATGAAGTCTCTCATCTCAAACCAGACGTGTGAACTAGCTGAGTTGTCCACGGGTGTAAAACCCCAAAAATTTGAATATTTTGTGATAAATAATAATAAATATGTTATATATTTATAAATAATATATTATAATGTTTGAGTATGCTAGGAATTGGTTTGAGATCAATTCAATGTATATATGTATATATATAAGAGCAAATGCACAATTCAAGCTCGATGTATAAATCTGGAAATTTATGACCAGTGAAAAGATTTTTATATTTTTATCATAGATTTAGTTGGAATTTGGAAAGACTTAAACGACAAAAGTTGTAGGTATCTTCAAGATCTTTCCAACAAGTCTTATATCACCTTATTCCGAGGTCGTACGTGAAAGTTATGGCCAAACTACCGAAGGTCATTTTCCTAGTCAGATTAGGATTCCTGGTTCGGGTCAAACGGGTTTATTTCGGGTTTGCATATATATAAACATGTGTTTTTATAAAAATTAACATCCTTATATCAGAGTTTCAAACCCTAGCAGCCCCTCTTCCTCTCTCTGAATCCCTAGCCCTAAAATTGAGAATTTTGAGAGATTTGTGAAGCAAATATCG